AGACGACAGCGCAAACAGGCTCCAACCAGAGCCTAGCCTTAAATATATATATATATATATATATATATATATATATATATATATATATATATATATATATATATATATATACGCTGAAAAACAGGCCGATCTCCAACATCTATAAACCAAGGTGTTGATGGCAGCACAGCTGATATTTCTCTCCAGGATGGAGTCACGGCCAAACATGTACAGACCAGTTAAAGCTACTATGAGAAAAAGCAGAGAGAGCATAATGTTATGCTACGTTCACACCGGACGCAGCAAAAGCAGCAAAATCGCGTCTGCTGCTTCCTTTTTGCTGCTTGTACCAGTTAGATCTGACGCGCAGCTGAAGCAGCTTTGCTGCTCTGGCTGCGCGGTGCAAAAGTGTGTCTGACGTGCATTGGGCGGAGCTTCACTATCTCGAGCAGCAGAAATTCAATTTTTCCATCTCAAGCAGCAGCGCGTTTGCGGCGCGTCACGTGCGTCAGATGCTTAAACGCGCCCTACACGCTGCTTCAGCTGCTCAGACGCGCTGCGCCTGCTGCTCAAAACGCGCCGCGGGACCTTTTGCTGCGCCTTGACGCGCGTCAATCATTGACTTTGCATGTAAACTCGCTGCTTCTGTCGCGCCAGCTGCGTCCAGTGTGAACGCAGCATTAGAGATTGAACTAACTGATTCAGCAGAGTGGGAGAAAAGAGACAGAATTAAGCAGAATGATTGAAAAAAGGGGTCCCTATGTCCTCCTGCAGTCTAAACCTATAGCAGCATAACTATAGAGATAGCTCAGGATAACCTGAGCCACTCTAACTATAAGCTTTATCAAAAAGAAAAGTTTTAAGCCTAGCCTTAAAAGTAGACAGGGTGTATGCCTCACGGACTAAAACTGGTAGTTGGCTCTACAGGAGAGGAGCCTGATAACTAAGACTGGTCTCCGATATCAGAGCCGTGCACTTTGTCCCTGCATTCATCTTCACTGACCTCGTCTGTCAGGAGTTTATTGGCAACTTGATGACATCAGGCAATGTTCAAAGAATTCTACCTTTAAAAATTCTAGTAACCACTAGTAAATCTGCAGACTGAGAGCAAAGTGCTCTGTTAGGAACATAAGGAACAATCATATCTCTGATAATAATCTCTTCTGTGAGAAGGAGGATTTTAAATTTTAAGTTAAGTATTTTGTTACTTTTTTTCAGGTATAAAACTAATTTGCTCTAACTACCAGCAGGGGGAACTCTAACCAAACAAACCTAAATGGATCATATTTAGCTCATCTTAGCTGAACTACCTTACTGCGACTAAGTTTGTAAAATGACACTGCATGAAAAGTAAGATTTTCGTCCCCGTAAACCCCCGTAAACTCCCGCAGATCTGCCTGATTTTCGTCAGTTTCCGACAATTTGCAACCCGTGCTTGTCCGCGTTTGTCGTGCCACAAATTGTCGGAAACGTACCGTGACGTATGTGGAGAGCGATCAGCTGTACTAATGGCCCTAATTAGCATATGAATGCAGCAAACCTGCGTGGCTGGCCAAGTCTGGCTTGAATAACCTTCTCAGTATTGGCTGAAACCACTATTCTCAAACAAGTAAAATCGCTCGTGATTGGCAGCAAAACCACACGTGGCCACGCCAGGCTTTAATTTTCTTACTGAGTATTGGACGGAACCACTTCTTTTTAAACAAGTAAAGTCGCTCGTGATTGGTTGGCATATATATATATTTACATATATATATATTTATTCATATATATATATATATTTATTCATTCATATATTTATTCATTCATATATTTATTCATTCATATATTTATTCATTCATATGGTGTGTATTTATGTTATCCTACACTACTACACAATTATTATGCTACCATCAAGGACATGAATGAATTTATACAGGAAATGAAGATTTGCCAGGAAGCTGTTTATGCAAAGAAAGAGCTTTATTGAAACACAACTATATACAACGCGTATCCAAACACATGCGTTTCTAAAAATTAAAACTCCGTGAACGGTCCGTTTGCTTCCTCGGGGTTGGAGGTAACTGGCAGCATTCCCTCCGAGGCAGGTCCGATGTGCAGACGCCTAGTGTGCGTGGCCCTGTACTTCGGCATCGCTTCTAACCGGGACTGCAGCTTAACACAGAGTTCAGAGGGATCCGGCCTACGAAATGGCGGCGACCGTACAATCCATCCAGAGACACCGCCGAGGAAGGCGGACTTCCAGAGTTCCACTTCCTCATCTGCTAGCACACTCTGCCTCGCTTTCAGCAGCTGAAAAAAAAAACAATGAATCAGCGCACTGCGTATGGACATAACACATCTATCAATGCACCTGAAAAATAGTCACCAAATAAAGTCTTACCCTCTTTCTTCTGGCCCGACTCCGAGCAGATAGCCTCCGCACGCAGCGTGTGGCTGGCTGCGTATATCTGAAGCTCCTGCGTACCGTCTGAAAATACGTCTTACAGGCAGCTGGAAAACAATTAAATGAGAGTGGTATAAATAAAAAATCAAACGCAAGTCACAGTAACAAGGAAGGAGAAAACATTAAAACAAGTCACTTACACACAATGTCGTCTTTATCAACATCGTGCAAATCTGGACTTGCCGAGATGGGAGGTCTGTGAAAACAAAATGTAAAAGCTATGATCGGTATCCATCCGTATCCATTGCCTTTTACCGCAGAATGAAAGCATATTCTTTAAATCTTACCCTTGCTCTGGTTCATAGCGCCTGCAATTAGTCTCCGAGTTGTTAAGACGGCATACTGCTTCCTGTGAATCACAAAAAATACACTTTAATAAAGCTTGTTCTTGCAAGGCTACTATTAGCCGCTATTAGCCGGTAGCTTAGGCTAGGCTGCTTTTAGCTTAGCAGGCAGTAATCGAACATATATTTACCGCTAGCATCTCTTCTTTGAGTTCGTCTTGTTCGATGCAGAGTCGCCATCGCGTCCAAGAGGAGTTTTACCCCGAAATCCAGAAGCTCCAGACCGCTGCACAAAGCAAAGCATACATCCTCCACTGTGGCTGCACACCGCCGTTCTGAGTTTCTTGGAGATTGTAGAGCGCATGCGCGAGATGAACCAGGGTGTCCGCGGATCAATAAAAATTATTAAAAAATCATTCTTTTTTTTTTTTTTATCAAGGCCTTAATTGGCACTAAAATTATTTAAATATGTTTATCGAAGTATTTATAATTCTTTAATAAAAAATGCTTATAAAAACAATTTCGTCAGATATATTATATCGCTCCAGGCGGAGAAAAAGCTAGAGGATATATATATACGTATATATGTGTGTGTGTGTGTTTACATACATACAGGAGTCATGGAACTCTGCTTGCAGCTCCTTCATATTTCATGTACACTAATAACTTGTGTACATGGTTCTTGATGATGGCATTAAAATCATTTCAAATAGCATTAAAATAGCATTAAATTAGAGTCACTCATTCCTGTATGAACCCTGTGAGTGCTTAATTTAATATGACATATTAAAAAAATCCCACCATCATCCAGCATATGTTCAGTTTCTGCCCAAATATATATGTAGATTTTTGTAACGGGGATGAGGATAATTCAAAACTGCTTTTTTTTTAATGAACTTGTTCACTACTTCCAAACTCAGCATCTCTTTTCATTCCTGTAATAAGAAGTTTCTTTTGAATGGATTTGATTAAAGTTTAAGTCCCTCGGTATAAAATAAATATTTTGATGGAGATGAGAAATCTGCTTCCTCGTTGGTGAATAACCAATAGTTTGGATCCAATCATTTAAATAAACGGTGTTAGTTTTTATATATATATATATATATATATATATATATATATATATATATATATATATATATATATATATATATATAAGAATTGTGCTATAATTTCTAGTCACCGATCTGTTGCTGCTATATTTTAATTTGACGAACCGGAATTTGTCGATGTTCTTTTTCCTGTTTGGTGCGATTGCAATTGCGGATCTTGACCTGGCCGGACCTTATGACCACAGTGTACCAATCTTCTCATGGCTACTTCCAGCAGGATAATGCGCCATGTTATAAAGTGAATCATCTCAGACTCATTTCTTGAAACTTTTCCACTTAAGTAATTGTGAATTGAGCATATTGACAGACAACATTTTATTTTTTATCTTAAATGCAATTTTTTTTTTATAATTACTGCTCTAAATGTATTGCTCTGTCAGCTAAAGATCTGTTTTGGTCTCTATACTTTAATTAAATAAATCAATTCAAGCTAAAATGGAAGAGGCTATACTAAGCCTGATCTCTTTGTATCAGAGAATTTCTTTCCCAGAAAGATGTCACTTGGGGTAAAACCCCCCCTGCAACCCTGGTTTGCATTTGTATAGCTCACAGCATGTTCATTTACATGTTAAAGCCTCCCCTAGAATTCCATGGGGGGGAGGCAGGGGGGAACACTGCCTAAGAGAGTCCACGTCAATTTCTGACAATTTACGGGAGTTTTCGGCGAAGCCTGCAAATTGTCGTAAACTGCCGCTAACCTGAAGTTCCACGACAATCTACAGTGCCGCATATTGACGAAAATCCCACTTTTCATGCAGTGTGATATACACATTCAGCAATGTCTCTAAGACCTGTATACTGTATGTCTGAGATTGTGATTACTCATAGACAAACATTAGCTCTGTTTTATTTTTTTCTCATTTCAATTTCAACATTATTGGCTAAAGGTTTACATGTTTACTTTCTTTATTGCATTTTGATAAACAACTTATTTAACAAGGAACAGTGACATCACTCTCAAACCCCATCTAGATATTTCTTGGTTATAAAACGGTGATTAATTTGCACAGGCAGCTTTAAATGCCTTTCCAGGCTTTATTGTGCAAAGAACAGGGTCACTGCCAACAGCTTTTGTTACTGTTGCATCACGTGTTTGTTATATTCTTCCTTAAATGCTTGGGATAATGAGATTAGAGGTTTAATGTGGAGTAAACCCTCTTATAAACATCTTATCAGAAACATTACAGCAAAATCAGTGCCACTTTTCAAAGGACCACTGCTGAGACGGAGGTTCAGCTCACAAACTCCTACTTCCTAAACACAAAATGGCAAACATTCTTTTTCTTGCAATATCTTTGCTAATTTTGGGGGATGTTGCCTTTTTACATGCCTCATTTCCACCCAGCCTTATTGAGGACATCGCAAAAATCGTCATGGACAATTACTGCTCACCAGAGAAGCTTGTAGGGATGAAGGAGGACATTGCAGCAGCCACAAACAACACAGAGGTCCTCAACATCCCAGACGGCGAGTTATTGGCTAATATCCTAACCAGTGGAGTCCAAACTACCGTGAGCGATCCACGGCTGCAGGTCTCCTATGAGCCAAACTATGTTCCTGTGGTCCGTCCAGAGCTGCCTCCTTTGCCCCCTGAACAGCTTGCTGCTGTTCTCCAGACATCCATAAAGCTAGATGTCTTGGACGGTAACATTGGCTACCTAAGAATTGATCACATCCTTGGGGAGGAGGTTGCTGAGAAGGTTGGCCCGTTGCTTGTAGACTTAGTTTGGAATAAAATCTTGCCCACCTCAGCTCTGATCTTTGACTTGCGTTACACTGGAAGCGGGGACCTCTCCGGCATCCCCTACATAGTCTCTTACTTCACCCAAGCTGAGCCTGTAATTCACATTGACAGCATTTATGACCGACCTTCGAACACCACCACCAAGCTGCTGTCTATGTCAACACTGCTGGGAGAGAGATACAGTATAAACAAGCCCCTTTTTATCCTCACAAGCAAAAACACAAATGGCATTGCTGAAGATGTTGCCTTCTGCCTCAAGAACCTGAAAAGGGCCACTGTTGTTGGTGAGAAGACTGCTGGGGGCTCAGTGAAGGTTGATAAACTTAAAGTGGGTAACACTGACTTCTACATCACCCTGCCTACTGCAAAGTCCATCAACCCCATCACAGGCTTGACCTGGGAGCTCACAGGTGTGACCCCAGATGTGGAAGTCGATGCAGAGGATGCCCTTGCTACCGCAATTGCAATCATCAACCTCAGAGCTCAAGTGCCAGCCATCATTGAGGAATCTGCAAGCTTGATTGCCAACAATTATGCCTTTGAGAGTGTCGGGGCAGATGTTGCAGAGAAGCTAAGAGACCTCCTGGCAAAAGGGGAATTCAGCACCATTAATGATAAAGACGGTCTCGAGACAAAGCTGTCAGCTGATCTCCAAACCCTTTCTGGCGACAAAAGCCTAAAGACCACCAGCAACACCCCAGCCCTGCCACCAGTTGTAAGTGTTCTTTTGTTGTTTCAGAGAAAATTTTTCAAAGCAAGTCTTAAGCCAGGCCTACACTGTACAATTTTTTCAAATGTTGCATGCAGCTAGAGCACACACTGTACAACGAAACCGCGAGGTTTCATCATACAGTCCACAGCTCACGATGTTTGTTCTCATACTGTGTGGCCCAACGCTCTGATACGATCTACCTGCTCACACTGTACGTCTAAAAACCACGTGAGACTCAGCTCCACAGTGAGATGGCGCTACTCGGACTCGTCTATCTGGAAGCCAAATGAGTAGAAGAGGAATATGAAGCTTACTAGAGTGAAATGCGCTGCCTTGGAAATTTGTGCAATTTTGTGCTGAAAGCCCTAAAAAGAAAAGGCGACAACGTATTTGGACAAAGACATGGCGGAGCAGACGTGGATACTACGATCTGTCAATCTTAAAGAATAAAGTCCAGTTCACTCACATCCCCACCATGGTTCTACATTTTCATCTGAGAGAAAGAAGAAGAATCCTTGTTTGCGCACTAAGCGATTTGTTTACGACCACCTTACAATGGCCAAATGAATTTCGAACATGTTTGATTTTCTCCCAACCTTATTTATAATACCTGATCAGGAGATGGTCATTAGAGGCTGATCGCCCCTCGTTACGCCCTTTACACTAAACGATGCACAATCATGCCCAATCGACTGGCTTTATTAAGAAAACACTTCTGGAAAATAAAATTGCTTGAACAGCAATGTATCATTTTCTGGTGTAGATGACATACTCCAAACATGATCCATGTGCAAGGGTCAATGTAAAGAATATTTTGATGTAAGATGTCTTTTGTGACGCTAATGCCTGTCCGGTGCTCACTCTGCAGGATTATTCTCCAGAGATGTACATTGAGCTGATCAAAATCTCCTTTCACTCTGATGTTTTTGAAAACAACACTGGCTACCTGCGATTTGACATGTTTGGAGACTTTGAAGAAGTAAAGCCCATCGCCCAGATAATTGTGGAGCATGTCTGGAACAAAGTCCTAAACACAGACGCTATGATCATTGATCTCAGGTGGGGTTTTTGTTTTTTTGTTATTATTTTTATTCTAAAGTAAAATATTACCCTACTCAGACAAGTAAAAATCAGACATTCATAAAAAAATAAGTGTTCTGTTTTTTTTCTGCTTACTTTGTGTTTTTTGGACACTCAGGAACAATGTTGGTGGACCAACAACAGCCATTGCAGGTTTTTGCTCTTACTTCTTTGATGGAGACAAGCAGATCCTTTTGGACAAACTGTATGACAGACCCTCTGGAACCACCACTGAGCTGCTGACTCTCTCCGAACTCACTGGTAATTCCTCAGACTTACTTTTAGCATAATATCTAAATAACACTGAATAAAGGGCTGGTTATCCTCCCACAGCAGTGTGTAGCAGTGAGCTTGTTTCAGGCATAACAAAGATCTTTTTTATTTATGCCCAATTTTGAAGCGTGGTCTGTGCTATGTTATTTCACACCACAACAGAAGAGGGACAATCTCGATCTAGCTGTGGGTCTAGATACGGCCGAGGTGGTGAGGAAATGGAAAAACACAAGGAGCAACAACGGAGGGACATGAGGGCAAAAAAGAGCAGGGATCTAGATGGAAAAAGGGTCCCAGCGTTCTCCCGTACCACGCTCTTCTAGCTTGTTCATCTTCATGAGTCATTTTCCACAATGGTGGTCATGCCTTACTGGCTTGTTTTGTTTGTACCAAACAGGAAATATGCATAGTGTAGAGCAGATGTAGATTTGACCAATCAGATGCTTCCTGTCTGCGGTCACCTACAATATTGGAGAGGTGCACTAGAGTGTCTGCGTGGGGGGAGTCATATCTGCATTAAAGTCGTAGGAAACAGCTTTTCCAACCGTTGCATTTCCAAATTCTCCCTAGCAGTGCCCGACTTTACACGAGTGAATAAAGTGAATATGACTGGTCGTTTATCAAGGGGGCGGGATTGTTGTGGTGGAAGATTTGCAATTATGTTTGGTTGTGGCCGGTTTGTCTGAAGCATCTTGCTAACCAGTTAGCAACTTAGTGCTAGGAGGTTCCAAATGGGAAATTCCATTGCGACCAAGTAGCACTAAATTGGTGACTTAGCAACAATACTGCAGCAGAAGCTTGGTTTTGTGTAGAAGGCTTACAGCCGTACATGTTTGAGCCCTTGCCTCGCAACGCTGCCAGTTCTGTTAGCTCTACGCCTGCTGAAGACACAGACGTCCATCCCCGTGAACACTGGGAATGGAAAACTCAATGGGAAAGGAAATAATGATTCTTATTTCAACCGTTGCGTATATTAGCTGCAACATACAAATCAAGATGCTTAAAAAATTTGATTGACAGACGACCACTGATATATGATTGGCCAAATTTAGGTGTTCAGGCTGACGTATAACTAATTGGCCTGCATAAGATAACAGATTTCAAGACAGGATTTTTTTTTTTTTTTATAGAAATTTTCTAACTTTTGGGACAATATAGTCTGATAAAGAGTACATTTATTAACATGTTTAAGCCAGAATGATTTGACATTTAAATATGACTTCCCTACGACTTTAACTGTGACACACACAACCAGACGACCTGGTTTCTGAGTTTAAACCAGGCTTTAGAGGTTTCTAACTGTATGCTTGACTCTCATCTAGGCGTAAGGTATGGCTCTAAGAAAAGTCTCATCATCTTGACCAGCAAGGTTACAGCGGGCGCCGCGGAGGAGTTTGTTTACATCATGAAAAAGCAAGGCCGTGCTATGATAATTGGAGAGACCACCGCCGGGGCTTCCCATCCACCGAAGGTATTCCCAGTTGGTGAGAGCAACATCTTCCTTAGCATCCCCACGGTCCATTCCGACGCTTCGGCTGGGCCAACTTGGGAGGGAGTTGGTGTAAAACCCCACATTCCTGCTGCAGCTGAGGCTGCCTTGGAGGTGGCAAAGGGCATCCTTAACAAGCACCTTGAAGGCCAGCAGTAAACAGTGTGCTGTGAAGATCTCTGTTTTAGTGTTTGCTTTGGCAATTAATTTTGTTCTTGTTTGTAAGAGCAATGTAGATTCAGTACAGACTGTATTTTGTCCTTAATTTTCAAAATACTTCAGCCTTGTTGGTGTTTGTAATGGAGAGGTTCAGTTGTATGTAGGATTAAAAACCTTTGCAACTCTAGAAGTGAGTCTTGCTGTTTGTGTAAGTAAGTGCATGTTATGCTTTTCCAACATTTGTTGATTCTTTGTTATGCTGTGTCTCTTGGGATGGCAGATTCGACAATCCATTTTTACATCTAATATTTCTACATGAGAAGCCGTTCTGAGGAAGTAAAATGCTGTTTTATCCTAAATACAGTGAATTTCACATCACATGGACCTACTTGGGTTGTATCAATTCCAGAAGTGAGACCCAATAAAACATTGTTCATAAGTGTGTGCTGCATTCAAATTCTTTAATAAGAGGCAAACAAAAATGTCCTGTCATAACTGTCATCACGGTGGAGATGTGGCGGCCTAGTTGTTATTGCATAGAGCAGTGGAATCCTGAGGTTCTGAGTATGAGCTCCACTCCCACAGCCTCCACTCTGGGTCTAGGAACAAGACCTCATACCTTAACCCCATACTGATCCCTGGGCGCCACACAATGGCAGCCTAAAGGGGATGGGTTAAAGACAGAGGTATATTTCACCAAATTCGTATCAATTAAGTTCAATTATTATAATTATTATCTAATGCAGTCTAAAGAGGGAATTCAGTTACATTTTTCCATAGCATGCAATGTTTAACACCTGGTTTTATCTTTTACCTAGGGATGGGGATCGTTAATATTTATTGATATCGATACCTTTATCGATACTCCTTATCGATCCGAGTCTTTATCGATACCACTATCGATACTTTTCTGTTATTTGGTGGAAAGACGATGCGACAATATGTTTTTAACAGAACTGGTATTGCTTTTATTGCTTAACAAGTGAGCATAACAAAAAAGTTTCTAGCCTTCAGTAAACATGGCTAATGTAATAGGCCACTTCTAAATGACATAAAACTAACTAGAATATATCAGCAGCACCAAATGAAAAATAAAATGTCATAATGTATATAAATTAAATGAATAATATGCTGTGTCAGAAAAAAAGGAAATAAAATATCAGCCCATAAATTAACAGGTATTTTTTTGCAGAAAAATTAACATGTCTGTCACTTTTCATCAGGTTTTTAGAGATTAGGAAAATATTTATCAAATAAATAATTTTATTTTAAATTAAATGTAATTTTTAATAAATGTTGGCATCAGTAGTTTAATTATATATTGTAAAATAATTACAGCAATATACAACTGTATTACTCATGTTTCTCGCCAAAAACTCAATTTCCCTTTTCTTTACGTTACACTTGAACGCATCATGATAACCTAATTGTCGTTTTACTGAGCCAACCTGAACACATCATCACGCAGCACGTCTGAAACTTTATTTACTTTTTAAGCTAACTAGCTTGTATGCTGCCGATTACAACACGGATTTCACAATTACCATTTTTAAGTGACCAGACAAGCTACAAAGTCTGTGTGCGCGCTAACCAGTGGTTCTCTGAGTGGATGATGAAGACGGGCCCGACTGTGGTGCGGCGGGGCAGCAGCAGGAGGAGGAGGAGTCTTTTCCGTTCAGCCATTCTCGAGTTGCGAGCAAAGTTAACTGCCAGACTTCACTTGTTTTACTTTTAATATCTGTTTGCTTACAATTTCATTCCAAAACATTGGTAGACATGCTGCAGTGATTGGATTGATTAGATTTAAATGCTGTGACGCGACTCGAGGGACACACAATTATGTTACAGGACCTCCGGGAAAAAAAAAAAAAAGACCAGACTCGATAGTGGTATCGATAAGCCCAAACGTTATTGATTTTCGGGTTTTGAAAAAACTGGAACCGGGTCCTTGATAGAACCGGGTTTCGATCCCCATCCCTACTTTTACCACTATTAAATAAAGACAAAACATCAATATTTATACATCACTAAATACAAACAAGGTATTTGAATTGCGTTACAGTTAAAAGGAGCAAGTTAAAGCTGAAAATGTATTAACTGCTAAAATAATCATATAGTAAGTGGTCGGACTTGCTTTTATATAATTTCATTCCATACTGTTTGGCAGACAGTTACTAATGCTAAAAGATTAGTCATATATATAGATATCCGCCACATCGATTATCTTTCGGTGCCACATCCCATTTAGGGGCTAATCCTCCAATTATGGGGCTAGAGGTTCCTTCTTGGGAGGATAAGCCCCTTAACGGGATGTACCACCAAAACATAATTGAAGTGACAGATATCAGGACATCCTACCAATGGCTAGACAAAGTCAGACTGAAGGACAGCAAAGAGGCACTTATCATGGCTGCACATGAGCAGGCCCTAAGCACCAGAGCAATAGAGGCCCAGATCTACCACAACAGACAAGACCCCAGGTGCAGACTGTGCAAAAAGGAACCTAAGACAATCAAGTGTAAGATGCTGGCAGGGAAGGCTTACATGATGTGCCATAACCAAGAGGCTGCAATAGTGTACAGTATATATATGTATATGTATATATATATATATATATATATATATATATATATATATATATATATATATATATATATATATATATATATATACATATACATATATATATATATATATATATATATATATATATATATATATATATATATATATATATATATATATATATATATATATATATATATATATATATATATATATATATATATATATATATATATATATATGTATATATATATATATATATATATATATATATATATATATATATATATATATATATATATATTATTGAGAAGTTTTTTACATTTCTTACATTTCTAATTTGCATTATTTATCATTTACTAAATGTATTATTTGCTTTCAACAAAAATAGAATAGAATTCACTCCATAAAAGCTACTTAAGTAGAGCAACTACTTTAAGTACAAATTCCTTAGTAGTCATCTCTGGTTACCGTACAAAGAACTTGAGAACCATTGCCAACACATTCCTTTACAATATACAAAAATTTGTTACTTATTTAAAAGTACATTGAATACCTAAAACAGCACATTGATGAGAAAGAGTTGCTTCTTATTTACCATACAATTATACTTTTGGCTATTTCAACCTGGACAGACTCACACAGAGAAAAGCTGCAGTTAGGAAAGTATTATTCAATTTATTTTTTTCGTAACACAATCAGATTCTTCTAAATGTTTCTGTCTAAGGAAAACCAGCTGATTGCATAGACTTATTGACTCTCTGCAATCCCTCACACCGAGCATGCGTGTTGTGAAAGTGGAGAGGAAAACTCCCTTGTAACAGGAAGAAACCTCCAGCAGAACCAGAACAGGGCTTAGGCCATTTCTCAATTCACAAGAACGCGAGTACAGAGTCGTATCCTCGACAAGTATGTTGTTGAGAAGAACAAAGGAAAGTGTGGACTCAGGGAGAACGGGAGCATGCAGCATAAATATGGGTCAATTGGAACAGAAGTGTACTGATGACATCACCACACGCTCGGCTCGTCTGATGCTGCGTTTCTCCTCCTGTTAATAATAGTCTCTAGATAACAATGAGTAATGATTTTTTTCATTTAGTGGGGGAAGAAAAATTAACAGTCAGATAAACACAAATCAAATGAACGTTTTGCCAAATAAAATAAAAAAACTCTCCATCAGAGCGAGCGGTACTTCACACACGGCAATGCAGAGAGAGGGCTGCTGCAGACGGGCTAACGTTAGCCCTAGCTGCCCTTACCCTCGGAGGTCCACTGGTTCTCAACTTTGCAAATTTTTGAAAAAAATTTTGCATTAAATTGGTAAATGGTCCATATAGTGACGCTTAAAAGTTTAATGTTCTCGCCTCAAATGATCTTAAAACATACTTTATTGAACAACAGCAACAGAAAAGAGAACTTTTAACTTAATACTCTGAGCTCTGTCAGCGCTAACCTGGTGGCTGCTGCTGCTGCAGTGCATGCTGGAACAGCTGTCAGTGTCAAGAACGCACAAGTCTGCTCTGATGCATGCTGGGTAAAGAGGAAGGGGCGAGAACAACATCTGGGGACTTTGTCCATTCTCAGTCTACTGTCTTTGTCAATTGGAACAGTTCTAGGACTGAGGCTGATGACGTTTCACAAGTACAAAGCTCATGAGAATGCACAAGTACATATATTGAGAAACGGCCTTAGTGTGAGCGGCCATCTGCCAAGGCCAAGGGTCTGAGGAGATTGAAGCCGATAATTACATAAATTAATTAAGTTATTTGCGCTCAGGCCCCTGGTGCAACACATAGACTCATGAGCTATAAGAAGCAGGAGAAGACCTTGTTCGGGGCTCAATCTTTGCCTGACGATCTGCAATAAACTCTGTTACTTTTTTACTCCTCTTTTTATAGTCCTTTTTTTTTATATGGTTTTACCCAGTTTGAGTTAAGAGTAGTAAGTAACTTGCTCCCAGGAAAAGAACCGGTGGGGAGGTCCCGAGGCGCAACTGCTTTTTAGGGGGCATAACTTCCTCATTTAACAGAATGATCTACTGCAAATAGGTGCGATGTGCATGCAGTGATGCGCTGGAAGCGCCCCCCTAAAGAGCTATGGCAGGGGTAACCAAAAATAAAAATCAGCGGGGTTTGAATAAAGAAAATAATCAACCAGTAAAGATCTGGAGACATAAGCCAGCAGGTGGGTTCAGATCAGGACCCTGGCCCGCTAATCCCTGACCTCTGAGCTATGGTTTCGATGTGCATGCAGTGATGTGTTGGAGACTCTAAGTGATTTACCCATTATAATCGGCTGCGGGCACCTAGCTGCACCCACCATGACGTTGATGTGCCTGCTTTAATGTGGTGCAGATATGTAGACCAACCAAATAGCAGACACAGATGTCACAAGATTTATTTTTCTACAGGCTCATGAAAACTTTAAACCTTTCAACCACAAATAAGCCGAATGAAACGTTATTCCCATTTGCACACATTAAGCATGAAACGACAGTAAACAGCGGATGCATATTAAAATCCGTCATTGACCATGACTAATTATGTAGATTAACAGATGATGAATGTCACTTCATTTGGATGGAATTAAACTGATTTCAGATAATAAAGTACAAAATCTTGTGTTATTTTTTAACCAGGACATGTCATTAAAATCCCATATCAAAGAGGTTTCTAGAATTTATGTCCTTCATCTGCGGAATATTGTAAAAATGAGAAATCTCCTGTCCAGGGGTGATGCTGAGAAACTAGTCCATGCATTTGTTACTTCAAGACTGGACTATTGTAATTCTTTACTATCAGGAAGTCCACAAACTGTAGTTAAAAGCCTTCAGCTGATCCAAAATGCTGCAGCCAGAGTTCTGATGAAAATGAAAAAGAGAGATCACATCTCGCCTATCCTGGCTTCTCTTCATTGGCTTCCTGTTAAATCCAGAATAGAATTTTAAATCCTCCTTCTCACATATAAAGCCTTAAATGGCCAAGCTCCATCTGATATCAGAGATCTGATTGTTCCTTATGTTCCTAACAGAGCACTTCGCTCTCAATCTGCAGGTTTACTACTGGTTCCTAGAATTTCTAAAAGTAGAATGGGAGGCAGATCTTTTAGTTATCAGGCTCCTCTCCTGTGGAACCAACTACCAGTTTTAGTCCGTGAGGCAGACACCCTGTCTACTTTTAAGGCTAGGCTTAAAACTTTCCTTTTTGATAACGCTTCTAGTTAGAGTGGCTCAGGTTATTCTGAGCTATCTCTATAGTTATGCTGCTATAGGCTTAGACTGCTGGAGGACATAGGGACCCCACTTTCATCATTCTGCTTCATTCTATCTCTATTCTCCCACTCTGCAGAATCTGTTAGTTCAATCTCTAACGTTCTGCTCTCTCTGCTTTTTCTCATAGTAGCTTCATCTGGTCTGTTCCTGTTTGGCTGTGACTCCATCCTGGAGAGAAATATCAGCTGTGCTGCTGCCATCAACACCTTTGTTTATAGATGTTGGAGATCTGCCTGTTTTCCAGTGTAGTCCTGTTTCTCTGACTGTGACTAACTGGATGTGCTCTCTTCATCCTCTGACATGGGGGCTGGCTCGGAGCTCGTCTGCCTGGCTGCGCGTTTCCTGGATGGAGCCGCCTTTTACAGTTGCTTTTTCTATGTCTACTTCTGTCTCCTTGAACCCCAGTCGGCCTCAGCAGATGGCCGCTCACACTGAGCCTGGTTCTGCTGGAGGTTTCTTCCTGTTAAAAGGGAGTTTTTCCTCTCCACTGTCGCTATAAGCATGCTCAGTGTGAGGGATTGCTGAAGAGTCAATGAATCGATGCAATCAACTGGTTTTCCTTAGATAGAAAACTTTGAATCAATTTGACTGGATGTTCTGGTTGAACTGTAAAGTGCCTTGAGATGACATGTGCTGTGAATTGGGGCTATAGAAATAAACTGAATTGAATTGAAATGTTCAGTGTCCTCTAAGGAAGTGTTTCCTAACCGGGGATACGCATTGCCCTAGTTGTCCACAAGTGCATTGCAGGGGGTAGATGAAAATATCTTATTTATTAGGTAGTAAAATTAAATAGGGCTGCTGTGTGAGGACCCAATTGAAAAATTAAACAAGTTTTCATCAACCAAAAGGTAAGTTTTTTCTTGCTCACCTTCTGCTTTGACATACATCCAAACCAAGCAGAGGATCAGACTGGATGTAGAGAACAGTCTGGGATCAGCTGTTTTTCCACACTGAGCTATCAGAGCTCATCAGAGCATCTCAGGGGTCTGATGAAAACAAATAAAACTAATTAAGTCAGTTTTGTTTTGTATTTTGTTCCTAATTCATCAAATTTAAATAAGGGAGTTAATCAGAGGACCTCCAGTTTTATAAATACAGGTTTATGATATGATTTTAATATTACATACTGTTCAATAGATAAGTATTTTTTAATTAATAGTAATTTTCATTTGAATGTGCTTTACTGGAGGCATCCATGTTTGTCAAAGAACACTACTGCCACCTACTGGTTAGTGACGTCACGGTGCGGTATCGGCTGTTGATCAAGTCCCAGTGCTGTATCTGGTGTTTGTCACAACGCGCTATTATCCAAGTCATCTTGAAAACATTCTTCTTCCAAATGTTGGCTACATATTACGGGTTTTTTCTCTGGCCAGAAGTTCGATGGCAAATCCTCCCTCTTCAAGTTGGCGATCCAACGACCAACCCGTCCGTGGAGGATCAGGAATCAGAAAGGTGAAATACCTCTTTATTTTTTATTTTTTACCCGATGTATTCCAGCATCCAGCTGCCATGCACGTGGGCATTGTCAGTTTAACTATAGCTCTGGTGAATTTCAATGGTGAAGTCCTCTGGAAATCTTCAATAATTGTTGTTGATTGCAGATGTGTCTAGTAGTTCCCATTGATTTAGCTTGTAAAGCGGGGAGAATGGCGCTAGGCTTACCGCACCGTGACATCACTGCTGGAAGATGGCAGGAGGGAGGGGTTATTATATGTGGCCAAAAATGGCCTCTCCCAGACTCAGTGATCGCAGCGAAAATAATTTTTTTAATTTTTTTTACTGATTAACCCTAAATTCATTAAATCACTGCAATCGTATTAGTTTTAGGTATAAATAATGATCCATTGATTATTCCTTGCTCACCAGACTTTTCCTTTAAGCTTCATTTTGTATGATTTAAGCCAAAAAACTTAAATTTACTTTTGTTCGTAAGTTCAATGTAGAACATGCCGTTTGTGTTTGTTTTTTACATAAAGAGGCATTACAGGGTTTCCAAATGATACTGCCACCTGTGGCCAAAACACAGAACTGCAGCATTCTTCTTCTCGTTCTCATAGCTCGTATTTGACAATGTTGTGTAATTTTTACTTTTTCCACATTTCACAGAGTTACAATTGATGCCTGAGTTAGAACACAACATTTTGATTGTTTGCTACTGTAGGTGAGACCGTTTTAACCTGGACGCATATGACTTCATATTCACGGCCGGACAGCTGGGAACTTCCAACCTAAAGTAAATTCAGGGAGAAAGGCTACTGGGGTGTCAGTCTGCTAATCAGACCATCAGACCAAGGCTGTGAACGAGCAGGACCGTGAGCTGAGCCATACGCTGGGTTTGATTGAACGCAGGCTGGCTGCGGTGTTTGAACTCAAAGGTTAGATGGGAAAATATCTTGGATGTGCACACTAGCTTCAAGGCGGAAAAGTCCAACAAATTTGGAATATTGGATTCACCATGTAGAGCCTGTGCAGCCTGCTCTCAAAACATTAAGTGTTATTTTAGATACGACCTTCCCCTTTTTAAACCTCCCCTAAATGCTATGGCGGAAGGGCCCAGAAGAACGGGCCCGTGTTTGTATGTGCTTTTCTTGTGTTGAGGTTTTTTTATATCTCAAACTGTACTCTTTGAAGGATAAAGTGTGAAATACGCTTTTTTCCCCCTCTCCCTCCCCAATGTGGCTCCTATCTATCCACAGAGGTAAAGGCAGCGCTATAAGGGAACTGCCTCATGGTGGGGCCCTTGGTAACCATAAAAACGCGCTCAAGGCAGCATTCTGTGGCACGCATGGCCTCAGTAAATTTTTTTTTCAGCCCCCCGCATCGTAACTCCAGTATATGTGATGTATGTGATGAATGGTTTGTACTGAAACTGAACTCTCGATTAGAATGTAAATTGTAGCTGGCAATAAAGAAATTGATTGATTGTTTTAGTCAGAAATGGTCAAACAAAAAGGTTATTTTAAAGATTTTTTCGGTAAAAAATTACAAAATTTCTAGCAGTCTCTTTACTTTTACCAGAGTAAAGCTTTACTTTCACTTCTTCCAGAGCTAAGTAAAAAATGTGAGTACTAGTTTTCCTGGGGATAATCATAATACATCTCCTGCGTGTTTTTTGAGCCATCCCATTCCCTGTTAAAGGCTCCTCTTAGACATGAGGGAGGTGCACAGTAGGATCTGAACCCACATTTTTCCATCCGTCTCTCCTCCTCAGGATGAAACATGAAACCTGGGCCACTTCAGGCGAGTCTGTCCCATGGGCTCACTTCTTCCAGAGCTTAGCACTGCTCTGCAGAGCCCAGATCACATCCTCAGCTTTATATCCAAGTTTAGACTTTGAGAGAATAGATCTTTTTAAAAATATTTTCTAGAGCTGTTTGGACGATTTTCTTGGAGAAATGCATTTCTCTGCATCTGAGAAGCAGCTCCTCTCCATCTGAGCCTGTCATTGGCATGGTTATGATCATTCATTACGCTTTAAACAGAAAGGCTTTTTTACTTTTTGCCCAACAGAATCAAACTGGTGTCTATTTGTGTATTTTGTTGGGGTTTTTTTCACGGGCAACCCACAAAGGAGTAAAGTTTAACCTCTGGAGCCAGATTACAGAAAACTGTGCTGAACATGCGTCTGGTTCTGGTTCTGGTCGGATTATTTCTGCTCACTTCTCCATCAGCAAGAGCGGAGCCGGAGCTGCCGGTGGAGGAAGAGGAGGAGAGCTCCTGTCACGGCGCCTTTGACCTTTACTTTGTGCTCGATAAGTAAGTTAAACAGTTTGTGTTCAGAAGGATGGTTTGAACAATACGGAAATGTTCCAATCAGGCAGGTGCTTTGTGTTTTACTTCTTTAGACTCGGTTTTTAGTGCATTTAGGTGGAGAAAATACATAAATTCAAGGAAGGGGAGAAAATTAAGTGAATATATTTTAGCAATTCATCAAAATGTTAACACTAAATTGAGTTAAAGTTAAGAGCTGCTCTTGTTAACCGGTGTGCATCGTTTAATGAGGCTGGTAAACTGAAGTTTGCTGACAAAGCGGAAAACAAACTGATAAACTGAAAGCCTCAGCATACCTCTAATCTATGGAGAGGCAAAAGTGCCAAAACTATCACATAAATTAAACATTGGATCATTGTTCAAATACTTACATGAAGGAGTGTTTTATTTCAAACATGTTAGATAGTTCTACAAACCAAAATGAAATTATAACAAATGAAAAAATTAAAATATTTAAATCATTAAAAAAAAACATTTTCAACAATAATGGAAGCATTTGATATTTAATGCTTATTTAATCCTACCCCATCTCCACTTGATAATCAAGCTGTTTACTTCCTGATTAACCGGTTTTCTCTCTCTTTTATTAATTTATAATAATAAAAGGGGGGGAGGACTGAAGTCTCAGCTCTCCAAAACCTATAACCTATAGCTCTCCAAAAGGGTGGATTTCTTCCCGCTATCATCTCAATCTTCATGGCCATGCGGGTGGTCAAAACATCCTCCCCTTTAAGCCAGGCCAACTACCACCCTACCAGCCCCCCATTACAAAGGGGCGGACCTGTTTTTGGTTCAATTTGCATGTTTTTTTTTAAGGCATAACAAGGCTTTTGTTGGGCTACTCTTTAAAGCCTGGAATTCAATTGTACTCCAGACATTTTGAATTGAGAAAGCTTTCTGGATGGGAAGCGAGACCTCTTTAAATTGGTCCACAAAGTCCAGCGGTTTGTTTTTAACTTTTTTAGGTCTATGTTTCTGCCTTGGTTATCAGTAGCGGCACAAGTGGGGTGAATACCTGATTAAAAGTATTTAACTAATTGCAAGGAAAAATCCATGTTTAGCAGCCACCAACTAAAGGAGTCATAACTTCTTTTATATAACCCTTATGAACCTTTTCCCTTTTTTCTCATTAAGAGCATGAACCAAATTTGAATTATGATCTAGTCTCTTGGTTATATAAGAATCAAGATTTGCAGAACGCCTCCAGGTGAGTCTCTGATTGGTGGAATGCCCCCGTTTGGGTGGGTCAGAGACGAAAAGTTTTAGGAGAAAATTTATCAGTTCTCAGGTTTTAGGATTAAAATGATCAGCTTTTAGAAATCAGACAAACAGTAAAGTTCTTGTTTTAAATCAATGAAACCTTGACCCCCGAAGCAGATATCTGGGTTTAACAAAGATACATTCTTAAAACATCAAAAGTTTATTTTGGGTCCCCACAAAACAGTCTCAAATTGTAAGGAAACCAGACTTTCAAGAGTAACTTTTTTTTATGCGCTGAGCATAACCAACAGGGCTTATGCAGTGGAGTGCAGTGAGGACTGTACAACCTCCTATATTGGAGAAACTAAACATGGAGCAGCATTGGAGAGCCAGGAATACCTGAATAACAAAGGACACACCTTTGAAGGCAAAAGTGTTCAGAATTTGGACAGAGAGGACAGATGTTTTGAAAGAGGGGTAAAGGACACCTTTGTGCAAAGAGAAAAAGCATCACTTCACAGGGGAAGAATTGAGGATTTACAATTCAGTCTTGGAACTCATTCCAAATAAATTACATAAGTAATCCCATTGTGATTCAAAAGGCCAATCATACAGCCCATGCACAACAAAATACTCCAACAATCCAGCAGTAAACGGGCAACTATTTTGATTAGCATCTGACTTGGAATCCATGCAGGAGAATGGACCATAAAATGCATCAGTGCTCCAGCTACATATTCCTCAGGTGGAGCTGAAAGAACTGATAAAGACTCCTGGACAGGTGTCAAAATATCTTCAGAAACTGCAATTTACTCCCATTTTATGGTTCCATGACCCGGATGACTGAGAATTTACACAGACATGTTAATTTTGGGTCATATAGATTAATATTTCAACTTTTAATCACCATTACTGTTCAAGCCAATCAGCCTTTGCCCCCACAATGGATACCCTTCATTGCTGTCCAATGACATGATCAGTCTACAAACCCAGAACAAACTTTTAGGAAGTTTTAATAAAATATCTGCCTGGTTAGACAAGATTTTAGTTAATAAAAAAAAAAAAAATAGCTGTTTTTTTTTAGACCTAAAAGACCTCAAATATATCTTAATGCCTGAGACCTGGGAAATCTTTTTTCCTGAGACCAGAGGATGATCTAAAATGTAAATTGATATACATTCTGGATAAGGATCAGATTAATTTAATATTTTTTGTTAAATATAAATATATTGGGGTTTTATTTATGTGCTTGGTCATGTCCATATGTTCATGTTTAAGTCATGGTTTTAAACATTTATATGAAAACCCATAATGCTACCAAATCAGTATGAATTTACTTGAAATGCTATATCTATGAGATGGATAAATGATTATTTTGGAGTGGCGAAGCCTATCTCCAGCTGTCAACGAGCAAGAGAAGGGTCAACCTTTGACAGGTCTCCAGTCCATCGCAGGGCAACACAGAGACAAAAAGGACAAATAACCATTAGCGCACACACTCACACCTAAGGAGGATGTATAGAAGCCAATTAACCTAACAGTCATGGGATGAAACTGGAGTACCCGGAGAGAAGCAGCTAGGGCCTAGGCCTGGAATCTAACCCGGAACCTTCTTGCAGCAATATAGCAGTGCTACCCACTGCCCCACTGAGATGCCCTCCATTCAGCTATATTCACATAAAATATCAGGTCACCCTATATCCACTAAGGAAGAAAAACTCTTAACTGTTTCTTATAAAAGTAATTCAGTTTTTAGCTCACCATTACTGTCCACCATTTTCCTTTCCATGTTGGACGCCCACACAGGAAAATGGTTGCAGCTATGTCACATCTTAGCACTGGACTTCCGCAGCGGAGCAGAACAGAGACTGCTGCTGTTTTCCATCATGTTTCATCTACCTTATAAGCCTGTTTCCATTCATTTCACCCACTAAAAACTAAGAAAACCTTCTAACGAACCAAATATTCCTGAATACTTTAGTATGCTCTAAAGGACAAACAAAATTGTTTTAACCTAAAATTTTCATTTAAATCACTTAAACTGTCTCTTACTAAAAAAAAATAATCTTTTTTTTGGGGCTAAAAGTTTTTTTCAATTGTCTAAAACTGAGAAACTGAAAACAATATTTATATGGAAATAACTGTAGTTGTAATGTTTAACATTATTGAGTGAAATTATCTGTACTTATACCTTTATGTTGTGGGTTGTTACCACTGTTAAAAGTTCTGCTAGTTGTTATGAAAGAAGAATAAGTAAAAATTCTTAACTAAGAGGATTTAGATTTGTAGTTTATTTCTTACATTTTCTAGGTCATCATGTTTTTCTGAAAAAATCAGGTTTTCTAGTTATAGATTCAACTTAAGATTCATTTTAGGTTATAAACTCAAAAATGTATGAAAGTTTTTTTGGCTTTTAATTTTCATTTCTGCTAACCTTTGTGTTTTTACAGTTTATAATGTTAATGGGAGAAATTCTGCCTCCATCTGAGCAAATAGGGCTGCAGTTAGATTTCATTGTGCATGATGTGGTTGAAGAGGCGATTTCGACTCGTATCAAAAGTAAAGGTTGCAAATCACTGTCTAGGTGCTCCCAGTATGTTCTGTGGAGAACTTTATTTATTGGGGTCAATATGAAATAATGAATATTTGCAGCAAAAACAGCAGGATTAAAAAATGTCAAATTTCAGCACAAGTGCTTATTTGTGGCGTTTTTTTCATCTGGAGTGTCAAGGCAGGTAAAAAAAAACTTTGCTTCACTTATTATCCCGTTGTTGTTTGTGTTAGCATTATGTTGCAGTGTCCATCTACTTATACATTTAGGTTAAAGCTGCTACTTCTGGATTATTGATTAAACTTGTTTATTTTGTTTCAAAGTATATTCATGATATTTGTTTTCCTTCTAACTCACCATTGTTTATCCCTGTACTTCCTGGTAAAATGGCCGGATGATGTCATCGATTACCTTGCTGGGTTCTACCAATTAGAGGGTTTTCTTTGGAGAAATGCTTTGCTTTTTTTCTTTAAAGTAACTTTTGAGTTATCTTGTATCACATTTCATTATGTAGATGAGATTGTAGATTAGATTAATCATTTTGTTCTTGTGTCTCTGCTAAGACTTTGTTTAGTATTTCTAGCTGTTTAATTGTGGCTTGGTCCACTCAAGTGAAGGTGTGTGGCCAATTGGGGGTACAGACAGTGAGTTCTGGGAAGCTCAAAGAAATGTTTGGTCAGAGGGAAAAAGGCAAAATTAAAAAAACATCAGAGGAATCTGATGCTGGTTTTGTTCGCCTTTCTGATCTTTGACCAAACTACCTCACAGACTTAAAATGAGAAATGCTGTTGTTGTTGTAGTTTCATTAACTTTTTTGGATGTACTCTAAAAGCTGGACAGGTTTGTCCATCTTTAACTGCCAGTGGAAGGCTGTCTTAACCACCACCCCCACGGGTACAAAGGCACAAACCCCATTGGATGAAATACTTCAAAGGAAGCAGTGTACGTCCATAAAAAACTTGACCGCCTTTTTGCAGGAGATTGTATTGGTCAGAGTGTTGTGCCAGGGGCAAGGGACAATACTCAACATGTGAAAGAACAATTGAGCAGCATTCAGGGCTCATAAAAAACAATTTTTTGGTAGAGTTTCTTTGGCATGTTTTTTTAATTGTCCAAATAGTATCCATAGTTACAGTAAGTTTAGTTACTTAGCTTTATGGACTAGAAGCTGGTCCATATCTGCAAGGAAGACAGTGGAGTCTTTTTGGTGAAGTGGATGACAATATATGATAAT